ACATTACTTGCACGACTGCTTTAATTAGCAGGCAGCGCTTACTAACTAGTTGAAACAATTTGATTCGTGAAGAAAACCCATTTGACTATATAATTGGAATTTAATTTTTATACCGTGATAATGTATTAAAAATGATTAGTAAGTAGAGTAATACTATTAACTTGAAGAGTCGTTGACTTTTAAGTATTTGTGTATAAGACATAAATGGAATAGAGGGTATATCACAGGCCCCCCTGGAGGTGTGGAGTCGTTACTAAAGACAGGAAAAAAATGGTCCATGTATGGGTAATGTCTCCTAGGAAGTCCGCTATGGAATGGGAAGGGTGGACCTAAATGTGATTTGTCACGTTACTTGTCACTAAGAATAGCCTATATGGGATATATAGTTACATTTTAGGCTTATTCCAATGGCCCCTTACATATTCTAACTTCATGTGGGGGCAATTAAACAGGGTTTTCACATGCCTTAATCACCCATCCTTTGTAACAAACCACATGTTTCTTCATTCAATCATTTCATGCTCCCCCTCTTTTATTTATTTATTTTCACTCACCAAAAATATTTCATCTCTTATCAAATAAAACAAATTTTAGCTCTAGTAAAATTAAATTGATTTGAAGCTGGTTTTTGTAATTATAAATCAAACCGAAAAATAGTAGAGTATATGAAAGTTTAAATAGTACATGCATAAAAGCATTTTATAAAGCATCTAACAAATATTCATCGGTACAATCATATTCAACATTAAAATATAAGTTTAACTTATATAGTTGTCTATGTATTGAAAAAAAATCACACTTAGTCTTATTTTTAAGATCAGCAATCTATCATTTTAATAACATGATAGTGTAAATAATATCTGACAGTATACATTATTTGAAATCTTAAAATATAATTGAAATGTATGTCTATACAACTATACAAGAAGTGTAGATTCATCCGTTACAGTCCAAACTAGCTAGACCACTAAGATTTCCAACTCACAAATATGTATCAAATCTTATAACCATGATGCATGTGAGCTACCTCATTAAACATGAAACTCTTTCGTTAGAATCAAAACAAATGAAGGAGAAAATTTGAGACATGATCCGCTGTTTCGATGAAATATATACCAAAGTTTGTATCCATAACGAGACAATTTCAGTCAATCCTAGGAAACAAAATCTACGCCATTTTTAGAGCTGGGTATATAAGGTGTCATTTCTTGTCCTTTAATTAAGCTAATCCAGATGTTAATTCAGTCAATCAAGACTACCATATGTAAGACCAATTAGTCTGGCCTCAATGTTGGGCAGAACTGAATCACGTTATAAGTGTATCCATCTTTTGTATTCTAGGTGTCAATTATTAAATCAAATTTGAACTCACTAAATTGGATATGGGCATCTATAATCAGCCTCCCCGACAAATCAATTCTGGATTTAACTTTGACAAAAAAAAATTTTCTTTGGGTCATATCAATATGTTACATAGCAGGTAATCTAAGTTTAATTAATTGTGTGCGCGATCACTTGATAATGTAAAAATAGCGTCACCGATTATGTCAACTTCTCATTGCCTAATTAATTTGTTTCTCGTTTTAAAAAGAATGATTTGATTTGACTGGTCACAAAGATTAAAAAAATAAAGAAATTTTTTGAATCTTATAGTCCTAAATCAAATTTATGTAAAATGTACAGAACTGTCATTTAATCTTATAACCTTAAACATGTCACGTGAAAAATTAAAACTAAAATATTACAAAAAAAATCATTTTTTTAAATATACAAAAAAAAAAGTCATTATTTTTGGAACGAAGAAGAGGGCGCATGAAAGTCATTTTCCTTTGGTCAAATCCAGCAGTTGACTTTATGCAGGCCACTAATGTTCCGGAGGTTTTAATTTAATCAGAGCAAACTTTAGAAACTTGTTACAAATTCTACCCGTTTTCACACCTATAATAATAAAATTGAGATTAATTTATATCCGCTGAAAGTGAATTTTTTTTTATATCTTTAGCTTATTTTTAGAAATATTTATTTTTAAAATATATTATTTATTATTAATTTTAAATAAAAAAATTATTATATGATAATTTGAATTCTAAATTAATTATATGAATTTATTTAGGATTCTTCTTGATAGCCAAAGATAAGCAGATTTTTAGCAGTGTTTTCTTGTCCTCATTATTTTTACCTCAGTCCCATCAACACCGTTAAAGTAATTTGAGACAAATCGATAACTTTTTACTTTTTTTTTCTTTTTAAATCTAGACTAATTGATTCCATAAAAAACATTATTCATAACTTATTAAGTCTTATTTCTAACGTGAAAAAGTTTTTGAATAGATGCTTCCATTGCTTCAATTTTTCTCTTCTTAGTTCTTTTTTTTTATTCTCTTCCTAGTCGATCTTATCGATAATACAAAATTAATTAAAAATAAGCTTTGATGCATATACCTTTATATGTATTCCAATTTATTTATGTAATACTCAAATCAATTTTTTAAGTAATACTCATACTCGATAGTATAAATAATATTTAAATTTTATTCCAAAAAAAATCTTAAATTTATAGAAAGTGTTTAAAAAAAAGAAAAGGAGAAGCTAAAAGAATCATTAATCTTTAAATATGAAAATTAAATTAAAAAAAATAAGTATTTCTAAATATAAGCTGATGGTATAATTCTTTCTGTCCGTCAGTCAGCGGATATAAGTTAATCTGGATAAAATTAAGGATTCACAAATCACAACCTAACTTCTTGAACACGGCAAAGATTAATTTGAATATCTTTTAAATAGATAGACTTCTTTATTAGTTTCGTCAATATTTCACATTTCAGTGTAGTATTTCCTTTCTCAATTTTCTGGTTAATCTAGAGTGCCTAGGACACTTAAAAATAACTTCTTAATACTCCTAAAAAGTGGTTGAGAACCGTATTATGAATTAATCACCAACATTGTTTTATGCCAAAGAAAAAAAAACAGAATCATGTATAGAATCTGTATTCCCTCTACTTTGCTCAAAATATCGACCGGAAGCAGAAGTTAATTTTTCCATAATTTAGTAGTCAATAAAGCAAATAATTGGACATTGCTACAGCAAGGATCACTTTTCAAGATTTTTCAAATTTGTAATTAGGAGACAAAAAGATATCCAAATCTGGGAGCGCCCTTTCGGTACCAACCAAACCCTTCAATACATCTATATGTTCGACTCAACAAATTTATAGTACTATGTAGATTGTAGACTGTAGTACGTACTATATTAATATCAACAAATTTATTACTGTGTTTGTTAAGGTAAAAATTCTGAGTTCCTTTGCTCTTTACTTCTTTTTACTACACCAAATAAGACTATTCTGGCCATGTGTGATTATAACGCAAACTCTTAAATCAGTTGGCTGATATATACTACTGGCGGGATAAATTTGTTTACCATTTGCAATATAAAAGTAAAAAATGATTTGCGAAGCTCTTTGAATATTCTCTCATCAGCTTTCCTAATATTCGCAATTCATTTTGAAACAAACAGTTGGCTAATACTAGTGGCGGAATTCATTTATTTACCTTTGTATGATAAATTTCTAAGCTTTAGTGGTTGACACCTCAAATGTTACCGTACTTACATTATTCTACATTGCCATATCAAAACAAAGATTTTGTTTATACTTATATACCATATTCCAAAATGCTCAAGGAGGATAACAGAATATATTAATTCTACCCTTCCACTCGTTTATTACAATCAACTTTCGGATTGCTAGAAACCACGACAATTCCAGATTTTAAATATAATTTAACTAAATGTAAATAAAATTGAATCTGAATTCTATCAAAGTATTCTTGAGATATTTAAAAAAATTGTGGACATCGGATGTCAAATTAGTTGTAAACGCATTAAGCGTGTGAATGTTTGATATGTGCAAACTGCAAAGCCAAATTGAACTAATCCATACAGATGTGCGTAAGATTTGTTTTCACAGGAGGCAGGTATTTGACGGTCGAGGTTGACTTTAATTCTTGAATGTCACGTGTTATCATGTTTGACATTAGAAAATTACTAATACTAAAAAGTGATTTAGTCTTAAAGTTTATATAAAAGAATTAAAGTTTGATAATTAATGTTTCGTAGTAAAATAAATAAAATAAAAGTATTTAGAATTAAGAAAACAAGTTTTGGGTTTTGTAGCCCCACTTGAGAGGGGAGACCGGGATAAGTGGCCGACAAACAGTAAGAGATGGGCCAGTAGGAGAGGGAGCAAATGGACCATGGCACGGTCATCGTCGGTCCAATTTTTGGATGGGCTTATTTCTACTTCTACCCATTGTTGTCTTTTGGATTTTCTTAACTCACCCACAAATGATTCATATCTCACAATAATCATATGCTAAATTGCTAATATTTTCATTTTAGAGAATTAAGATATAATTAATTAATTATTATGATAACTTTTATTCTTACTCCTACTCAATAAGGAGAGGAATTGAAGTGATACTATTAAATTAGGATAAAGAAATAAGTGGAGAGGGTAGACATAACTCATAAGTACTACGCTGAAATCCCAAGTAAGTGTCTGTAGTGCGCTTAGGTAACAAGGAACTTTAATTGTCCTTTAATTACTATAACATTAAACACTGAAATTAAACGGTGCTAAACGCGTTAAATTAGATGAATACTTGAAAAGAGAGAGTTATTTATTTATTTAATTAAAAAGGAATTTAAGAGTATTATGCGTAGTTTGGCTGACGTGTAGTTCCTTTGATTGACAAATTCCTATATATAGACATACATTATGCCAGCAAATGGCAACAACATCTCCCTAGCTCTCTTCTATAAACTACAATCTCCAATTCATTCCAAATCAAACTTTGTTTTCAACAACAAAATAAAAAACATTCAAAGTGATCCGATTACATCCTACTCTTTCTTGCTGGCACATTCCAGTCGACCAATAGATAAAATTTATTTCCCAAAATATACATAAAAGTCCAGTAAATTCATAACACCAGAAAATATGAAACTATTGTCAGAGAAAGCCACGTGTAATTCTCATGGACAAGATTCTTCATACTTTTTAGGATGGCAGGAGTACGAGAAAAATCCATACGATGAAATTCAAAATCCTAAAGGAATCATCCAGATGGGTCTAGCAGAAAATCAGGTAATTTGAAAAAAATACTTGAAACAGTTCTGTTTTTTTAAGAATCCCCATCTTCGATTGTCGGCTTTCACATTCTTTGCACTAACAATAATTTTATTTTATTTTCGTTACGCAGCTTTCATTTGATTTATTAGAGTCATGGCTAGCACAAAATCCAGACGCAGCTGGGTTTAAGAGAAATGGAGAATCAATATTTAGAGAACTTGCTCTGTTTCAAGATTATCATGGTCTTCCTGCTTTCAAAAATGTACGTATTTTTAATATATTGTTCACATGTATTATGAATACAAAAATATATTAAATATTACGTATGTGTGACATCATTTATCTTACGTTGTTATGTTTATTTTTATAATGCAGGCAATGACAAAATTCATGTCAGAAATCAGAGGAAACAGAGTAAGCTTTGATTCCAACAACCTCGTTCTTACAGCCGGTGCAACTTCCGCTAATGAGACGCTTATGTTTTGCCTAGCTAACCAAGGCGATGCTTTTCTCCTTCCTACCCCATACTATCCTGGGTACGTTCTCATCATCTATTTGATCGTAAAATTTTAAGTTAAAATTATTTTTTTTTCTTTACTGATGTTCTTATTGCATTATGTAATACAGATTCGATAGAGACCTCAAATGGAGAACTGGGGCGGAGATTGTACCAATACATTGCTCAAGTTCAAACGGATTCAGAATTACAGAATCCGCTCTTGAAGAAGCTTATCTAGACGCAAAAAAGCGCAACCTTAAAGTGAAAGGTGTTCTAGTGACCAACCCTTCAAATCCATTGGGAACAACACTAAACAGAAACGAGCTTGAACTTCTTCTTACATTCATCGACGAAAAAGGCATTCACCTCATCAGTGACGAGATCTATTCAGGGACTGTTTTTAACTCACCAGGCTTCGTTAGTGTCATGGAAGTTCTAATTGAAAAGAACTACATGAAAACCCGAGTTTGGGAACGAGTTCACATTGTTTACAGTCTCTCAAAAGATCTCGGTCTCCCCGGTTTTCGCATTGGTGCAATCTATTCCAACGATGAGATGGTTGTCTCCGCGGCCACAAAAATGTCTAGTTTCGGATTAGTCTCTTCTCAAACTCAGTACCTTCTTTCATGCATGCTCTCCGACAAAAAATTCACAAAGAAATACATCTCTGAAAATCAGAAGAGGCTAAAGAAACGACATGCAATGCTTGTTAAAGGTCTTAAAAGTGCTGGTATTAACTGCCTTGAAAGCAATGCTGGTTTGTTTTGTTGGGTAGACATGCGACATCTACTAAGTTCCAATAATTTTGACGCTGAAATGGACTTATGGAAGAAAATAGTGTACGATGTTGGCCTAAACATTTCTCCTGGATCATCATGCCATTGTACCGAACCAGGCTGGTTCCGTGTATGTTTTGCTAACATGTCCGAAGATACGTTAGACTTAGCCATGCGACGTATAAAGGATTTTGTCGAGTCCACTGCTCCCAACGCAACTAATCACCAGAATCAACAACAATCTAACGCAAATTCAAAGAAGAAGTCATTCTCCAAGTGGGTTTTTCGACTATCGTTCAATGACCGTCAAAGAGAACGATAGTCCTGCAAGTGTGAACATTCCCTTGTCCACAAATCCAGATTATTTTTTTTCTCAATATTCACATATTGAGTTCACCAAATATTTTTTTGTATGATTAAAATACTTTACTTTTTTTAAAAAAAAATGTTAGAGGGTGCACTCTGTCCATGTGATGGACGAGCAGTGGTTTTTCATATTTTTTATGTAATTAACATCTTGAAGATTGGATATCTGCACCAAATCTTCTTGAAATGTTCAAACTACTACATTATATCAGAAATCTTTCTTGGTATGTTCATTATTTACATCACATGATGAGTATATTGATATTTCAACATGCTATTTTAATTTTGATACATTCTATTACATTTATTGTAGATTCCTCATGTTATGATAATACACAAAATAATACTAGCAATTACATGGTAGAGGCGGAATTAACGGGAAAACAACGTGTCCTATCATGCCTAACATTGGACGTTGGCCGGTTTCTTTACTTGCCAATATTATTTTATTTCATCAACCGACTTTTTATCCTATTGGCATTTGGAGATATATACGTAGAATATGGAGGATAAAAATACGACATTGTTCAATACGTAAAAGCAGCATTCTCGTTGGTGGGTCCAAAGTAGAAATAATAGTCAGAAGACAAATGTGTTTTTTATTCTACTTCTGAGGTTTCTAAGATCATTCTTTTTCTGGGTGTTGCAATGAGATAACACTAAACTTGCCTGTATTCTTGGACAAAAAAAGATTAAAAAGAAGCGATAGAGAAAGAGTTGAAAAAAAAGAAATAGATTGCTTGCAAGTAATTGCAAAGTTTTTAAGATTTTGTTATTTTCTTTTTTCTACTAGTATTAGTACTATTTTATTTTTTGTATATTTGAGTGTTGTTGTTAATGACTACACCCACCTGCCACTCGTCTATTTTCAGTGGATATGTGTTTTTCTTTTGCACGCCTTTTAAAATATAGTAAGTATTACTTTCTTGTAAAATAAAAAAAATATATTATAAACTTAGTTATGCATCAATATATATAACTGAGTGGCAGCAGGCGTAAGGTTCATCCGAACTCCATTTGGTGAAAAATTAATTATTTATATATGATTAAAATAAATTTATATATTTATACAATAGATGTCGAACCCTATTTTACAGATTTTAAACCCTTATTAAAAATTTTGACTCCGCCTCATGAGCGGAGCAATAAATGTACGAAGGGAAGGGGGTTAACATTATAATACTATAGTCTTCTATTGATGGAGAAGATCTTCTGAGTCGCACAAAAGAAGTTCCTACCTTGTTTGACTTTTGATTCTCTTGTACCAACAATGGAGGAACTGGCCAAATAACAAAAGAATGTGACTAAAGTATTTTTATTTTAATTTAATGTCATCGTTTATCACATAATTAATCTTACTCCACATAAATCGATTATTTTTTTTAAAATGACAATTAGTGTGAATGAGTTATTTTGAATAATCACGACAACTAAAATGAGCAGTTACAAGAGAATCCACGCGGCCATTAGTTTTGTTCTTGCTGTCAACTGCTGGTTCACAAAGATCGGTTTTGGAATATGTGTTAAACTTGATCATTTGAGTCGAGTAATAATTGGTAGTATATATTTTATTAATGGGTATTGGGATCTTCACGTGTTTAGTTGAGCACTACAACTGGTCATCATATACTTTATATATATGTAAAAACATTTGTGCAAAATTTTACTTGGCATAATCATTATGATTTTTAACGTTTCCGTTAATTTATAAATGTGCCGACTGAAATTTGAATAGGACCACAGAAAGTTTATTTTTCCTTTTATATTCACTCCTTATTGAATTACTATTTTTTCTCACCCACCACGTTATTTGAAATCATATTAAGCTTGACAAAATTTTTGTTTGTATATATACAAGTGTAATTATTATTATTATTATCATAGAAGAGTAAAGTATAGTGGTTGAATATAAAAAATACAAGATTCCAAATATTGCTTAACAAATTAAGTAGTTTCTTCTCCGAATATTTTTTTTTATGTCTTTTATGTTGACTATTTTCAAGATTTTTCAGGGAGGTGTACAAGTAGTGGTGGTTGATACAAAATTATGACCGAAAGAAGTAGGTCTATAATCTACATTAAGGTTGTAGGTGTAGCACTATAATTAGCCCAGAATACTTTTTCTTAACCATACACTTTCCAGATGGCTAATTAGTTACTGCATGTAATAAGATAAATTGAAGACGTAAATGTCAAAAATATTTAAACTGTTTTTTTTTAACATTCGTAATAGAATTATTATGAGAGTGAGTTTCAAACATAAATTTTCACTTACTAGTTTGAGGAATATATTAATAGTGTGTGTAATATATTTGGGGGTCATTTCGTAGAGTGTATTAAAAAAAAAGGAAAATTACATGGGATGGCAAACATTCATAGCTAATTATATTATAGGGGTATAGTTTAATTTATTTACCTTATATAATTATAGTTTATTTTTGTTTGCTATATTTAATGGGGTCCACAACCTATTATATAACCAATGGTATAAAAACATTATTTTCTAATTTTGTATATAGTTATACACAAAACAATTTTCTCTCTCCTTTTCACATTCCAAATTTTTCTCCTACATTTAATACTCCAACTATCCAGTTTGAAATTCAAATTGTTGTCCAAAATTAGATTATTCCCTCACGAAGTTGAAGTTCCCTCCCGAAGTTGAAGTCAATTTTGTAAGTACTCCTTAATTTTAGTTGTTTACCTCTTCTTCTTTTTTTTACTTATTCAAAATTTGTATATGTATTCTGTTTATTTTTTTTCCATATATTTTGATGAAATAATCGATTTTTTGTTCCTGATAGATCTAAAATTGGTCACACAGTGAATGAATCATCTTCATCTTTGAGGATTACCAGAGGTATTCCTTTGCATGTAAATGTTGTTGACATTTTACCATCATTTTCAATGGGGTTAACTCAAGATTTTGGGTTTGATGTAGGGTCATTGGGAAAATCAAATCAGTTAGACAAGAACAAATAATGAAAGAGCTTAGATCAAAGGAAAAAAACGACCCTACGGCAGTTCAACAAGCTATTAACAATGTCAAAGCTAGAGGCATTAAACCAGTACAAGGAAGAAGAAAGAGGAAAGCTGTAAACATTGAATCAGAGGAAAATGCTTCTGAAGTTGTCGGATCTGAAGAACATAATATTCATGAGATATTGTATTAAAACACAAAGTTAGAAACAA